CCCTCAAAAAGAGCGATAGATCTTAATGATGTTCAACGCCTTTATTGGGCACATCTTACTTCAGATCCAGGATTACCCCGCAGTGAGGTGGCCAAGAAGAATGAAGTCTCCCCCAAATCGCAGGAATCCAAGCAAGTACTGTCATTTTTTACCATGGCCATGACACTGACGATTGATATGACCTAAAAAGACAAATTGAGGAGCTCATACAGCTGAGCCAGCTACGTCAATATGTTGCTGGTAGAGGCTAGCACCACCACCACCAGCTCGTAATCAAGATGACTAGCAACCTCTTGGAGAAATTCAAACCATCTTTGGAGGGCTCGAATGAGAAGGAGAATCCCAATCTTCCGTGAAGGCCCACGCTAGAAAGGCTAGACACACTGATGACCTACGCCCATCAACAATGGTGCTAACTATGACTATTGCCAATTTTCAAGTACAGAGGATTCTCGTAGACAGTGGTAGCTCTAGGGACATCCTATTCGTAGAAGCTTATGACAAGCTCCACCTTGGAAGGGAGAGGCTACCGCCCATCAAGTCGCCCCTAATTGGATTCTCAGGGGAAAAGGTGTACCCCTCATCTGCAATGAGCTCCATCCTCATCAGAGATAATGAAGTGGTATAGAGGCTCGTCTACTACATAAGTAGGGCATACCGGGGAATAGAGGTAAGATATTCAGGGCTAGAAAAGCTAGCGCTCACCTTGATCTCAACAGCAAGGCATCTCCGGCATTACTTCCAGAGTCATACAATCGTCGTTGTCACGGATTAGCCTTTGAAGAGAATTATGGGAAAGCCAGATGTTTCTAGAAGACTCCTCAAGTGAATAGTGGAGCCGGGCGAGTTCAATGCACAATATCAGTCGAGGACAACCATCAAGGCACAAGCCCTGGCGCATTTTGTTGCCGAGCTCACACCACCGAAAGGGGAGTGCTACGGAACTTTAACATCTCCACAAGACACCCCAGGAAGCCTCACCGGAGGTCCAGCCACTACAAACAAACACCCAGGAGCCCCAGGCAGGCGCCCTGGCCACCCAGAGGCCAAGCCTAGACACCCAGGACACACTAGTCCCCTTGCAGGAGCCTTGCCTAGGCACCTAGGTCATTCTAGCACCCAGGGCAGGCGCCCAGGACACCCAAGAACCCTGCCTAGGTGCCTTGTCGTCCTCCACAGCCTTTGAGGCTCCCTCTCTAGGCTTGGCCCCGTCTACAGGCTCGCCCCTGTAGCCTCCCTACACTATGGAGTCATCTCCCTTAAAACTTTACGTGGATGGTTCTTCAACCAACGAGGGAAGTGGAGCAGGTCTAATACTAATCAATCCCGACGACCCTACAATCAAATGTGTCGTAATGCTTCACTTTGCGTCCTCCAACAATGAAGCAGAATATGAAGCCATCCTCTCCGACCTAAGGTTGGTAGTTGAAATAGAAGTCCAACACCTCATCGCCTACAATGATTTTCAATTGATAGTCAACCAAGTGAAGGAGAGTTTGAAGCAAGGAAAGCCAGATGCAGGAATACCTGGCAATGGTGCAAGTTTAACTAACGAAGTTCCACCATTTCCAAATCCATTATGTTCCAAGGGAAGACATGTTGTAGTTGAGGCACTAGCCAAACTTGCCTCATCCACAGAAGCCTCACCAGAACCAATATTCACTGGTCACTCATTTGAATCAAGTAGACTAGGCGTAGAGGCCACAAACGTCAACTACATATCTTCTAAGTTAAACTGGATAACCACCATTAAGGCATACCTTTAGGGGGCACACTGCCAAACAACTCATTGGAAGCCAAGAAGCTTAGGATGATAGTCTCCAAGTTCATCATCCTATAGGGCATCCTGTACAAGAAGAGCTACTCCTTACCACTACTACGTTGCCTCTCCCTAGAGGAAGCTGCCTACGCCCTACGGGAAATCCATAAGGGGGTTTGTGGAAACCATTCTAGAGGATGCTTCTTAGCCAATAAGGCGGTCAGACAAGGCTACTTCTGGCCTAACTTGGTTAGGAATGCTCAGGAATTTACCAAAAAATGTGACAAGTACTAACGCTTCGCCACTATGCCTAGATAGCCACCAGAGGATCTGACAACTATCACAAGTCCCTGTCCCTTTTCCAAGTGGGGCATTGACATCTTGAGCCCTCTATCCATGAGCAAAGGGCAGTGTAAATTTATGATAGTAGCTATTGACTGCTTTACAAAGTGGGCGGAGGGTGAGCCCTTAGCCAAGATAACAGACGTGAAAGTTAAGGACTTTATCTGAAAAAACCTAGTCTGCCACTTTGAAGTACCCCACGCCATAGTTAGTGACAACGCCAAGCAGTTCGACAACAAACTCCTGAACTATTTTTTGCGCCGACCTGCAGATAAAATAGCCTCATTCTAGCCTAGCACACCCGCAAGCAAATGGAAAAGTAAATGTCTCAGTCAGAATAGTATTACGTAATCTGAAGACTATGCTGGAAAGAGCAAAGAGTCTCTGGGTAGATGAACTCCCAGGTGTATTGTGAGCCTACCGGACGACATCAGGGGTCCCAACTAGAGAGACTCCTTTCTCCTTTGCCTTTGGAACCGAAGCGGTCATACCTTTGGAGATGGGGATTCATTCCCTAAGGATCTAACACCACGACCCCATCACCAATGAGGAAGGACTCTGCATCAATCTCGACTTGATGGAGGAGGAAAAAGAGATGATCATGGTCCGAAATGTGGAGTATAAGCACCGCATGAGGAAATACTGCAACTCGAGGGTGAAACCTCGCTCCTTCTTACCAGGAGACCTAGTTCTCAAGAAAGTAATACTCGCCACAAATGATTCACGAAAAGGGAAGCTTGAACCAAACTGGGAAAGGCCCTACACTATGACAGAGATAGTAAGGCCAAGCACCTACAGAATTCAGAATTCTGAGAAAAAACTCTTACCCAATCCGTGGAATGCTGAAAATTTGAAAAGGTACTATCAATAACACTAGCGGAGGGCAGAAGTGATAAAACTGATGGACTTGATTTTATTTTTTCCTTTCTAGTCAAAAGATTTGTACCTTTTTTGGGATTATTGCCCACCATTGCTTATTATGAGCAATCATCAAATAAAATTTTTTGAATTTACTCAAAAAAGTTGCCTTGCATTTTATTTCAAATAAATCTCAAATGAAACTCTGAAAGGCAAAGGCCACTATTACAAGAGTCAGAGAATAGTCTGACACTATCTATCTACTCAAAAAAATAAAATAAAAGTCCTCAGTACATTAACTGCTCTCACTATTGCCTCCCTCATCCTTGTCGCCCTCTACTCCACCATCAAAGTCACTATCATCATCGCCATCATCATCATCACTTGGTGACACCTAATATGGAACAAACTTAGGGAAGTCAATATCAAGGAAGACAAAATTTTCCCCTAAACTCCTCATAGCCGTTAATGAAGGTATCGGCTAAGCCGCCCTCTAAATTAGCCTTAGCTTTGGCAGCCCTATCATGGGCTAATCGCAGATCTGCCTCAGCTCGAGAAACCCTCTCATGAGCCATCTCCAATTATGCCTCCACTCTAAAGCAGACAGCCTCGCCATCAGCCTCCAGATTAGCGGCCCTTACGCGGGTCGTCACAAGTTCTGCCTCTGCCCTCGTATAGGCAACCTCACTAAGAGCAGTCTTCTCACAGGTAGTCACAACCTCTGTCTTTGCAGTCATGCAGGCAGCCTCATTATGTGCAGCCCTCTCATGGGTCGCCACAAGTTTTGCCTCTGCCCTCGGGTTGGCAGCTTCACTAAATACCAGCCCTCTCATGGGTCGCCATAAGCTCTGCCTGGGAAACCTCACCATCAGCCTCGAGCTTAGCAATTCTCTCTTGAGCTGCCAATTGCTCCCTCTTTTCAACTTTATGAGCAAGCCTCTCCTCCTTAATGGTTGAGTTTAACTGGTTGAACTAAACAGCCCTTGGCATACAGAAGCAGCAGAAACCTAGAAAAGATAAAGGAAGGTCAGCACCATAAAGGAGAGATGAAGGTAAGGAAGGGAACAGACTCTTACCTGAGATAAGCCTTCCAAGACGGTGTCAATAATGTCCTGGGTGCCCTAAGCACCAACTTGTTCGATCTCTATAGGGAACACAAATCTCCCAAGTTGTTCCCTAATGATCCACACGTCATCTAGCGTGGACACCATTTGAGAGTCTGCCCCTACAGTCCTTGCTGGAGAATTTGATGTATAGGGAGCAGGAGACGCGGTCACCTAGAAAGCCTCTAGAGGGGTAGTCACCTATGGAGCAGTAACTGGAGGAACCTCTAGAGGAATCTCGGAAGAAGTTATCTGGGGAGGAGCCACTGGAAGGGTCATCTGAGAAGGGCCCATTATAACATCATCCACCCTGGCCATCTTGGGTGGAGGAGTACTCCTAGTGAAATAACGGGACTCCACCACTGTCTTATCCACTGCAGAAGGTAAAAGTGTTAATCTAATAAAAAAAGAGAGAAAAATATGAAGGAAGTCAACATAAATTTTCTCTTCTCTAAGGAGCCGTTAGCCTTGGAAGAAGGCACACCGCCACTAGCATCTCTAGAAGAAAGGTCCCTAGCCTCACCCTCTCTAAGTATGAGGGTCTCGTAGTCTCTTTTGACAGAACCTCACAGCCTAAAGCTTCCACTCCTGATCCGCTGAGAGCACTAGGTAGCTTGGAAAAAAGGTGGCTAATACCCAAAACAAAGGGGGACAGAGGCGGTACCTATCCTTTTTGGAAGGCCCCACCTCATTGGTACCAGAGCCCTGTCCGCCTTTGAAACCCACTCCCCTCCTACAAACAGAAAGCGATCCTTCCAGCTATGGCAGTTGGATCGCAACCCAACAATTAATTTTCCCTCGGAGTTAAGTAATACCAACCGCGTTTGGGAGGAGAAGTTTCACTCAAAATATAAGCAGCATAAAACTCTTCAGGGGAGGCATCCCCATAATGCACCCTCCTCCATAGTGCAAGAAATTCCAATAGAACTCTCCAACTATTAGGCTACAAACACCCCGACGCCAATGAAAAATAATGAAGGATCCGACAAATGGGAGAAGGTACAAGAAACCTTAACCCCGCCATCATTAGTAGACATTTTACGACGATACTTGCGTCGTCGTGGATGAAGAGTAGCACTATCACCATCATCTCTCACCACTTGTCCAGCCCCTGTCTCTGCACGTAGTTCATTCCTGACAGTTAGCCCGAATGCATTTGTCGCAGCACCTACCACCAGTGCCCAAGCTCCAGTGCCCCCTCTTGTACCTGCACCTGCCCATGTGCCAACCCAACCACCATGCCCCAAGCCCCTATGATCTCCTCCCAACTAGCACCTACCACCCACGCCTGCTGCACCTGTACCCGTGCCCATGCCCACTACGCCCATACCTGTCATGCTTGTTTCTGCTTCACTCATAACACCTTTGCCCTCCATCGCTCTTCTATCTAACCCTCTCAAGGAATGGAACAAAATGAAAAGAGGAAGGGCCTATTTATAGCCCAACCTTAGGAATTACTTGGTAGGATTGGCATTCAAGTATCCTAATTAGAATAGGATTGGCATTCAAGTATCCTAATTGGAATAGGAGTGACACTGAGGAGCTCTCATTCACTTTTGCAATTAACTAGAGTAGGATTGACATTGAGAAGTTNAAAAAAATTGTATGACACACATCATGAATAACTACATCTAATGTAAATAAGATTACATAGTATCACAAAAAAACAAAAGAGGATGAATTGTGTTTATGGGTGGAATTAGAGTTGTGAGGAGGTGGTGATGTTGGTTATGGTCTTGACCAAATAGTGTATGTGGGGTTGGAAGGTTTTGAGGGCGGTGATGGTGGGTAAGGTATGTTGTGAGAATGCAGTTGTTTATGACCTCTTCGATTTTTTTGGCAAATGATTGAATACTTGGAGTGCATGTAGTACCACGTACCAGAAGTAAAGAGATGGTTGAGGGAAAAAATAGATAAAATAAAAACGTTGGGAGAAACAACATTTTTCTTGAGTTATCAACTTCTTTTCCATAGACTTCAACGATCTCAACCGTCGTTCTTCTCTACAATGCACCTTTTGTTCTTCAACGATTGATACTCTATGTGGTATTAACAGTTTGATGCCGACTTTTTCACTTCTTCATTGTGAAACCTAAAAAAAATGATTTCTAAATGATGAACGATTTTTAAATGACGATTATCAGAGAATGGTGATTTTGGGAAAGTTTTGTCATCCCCGTTTGAAGTTCACACAATCCGACGATAATGGTGGAATTATGCATAACTGTTATCTCTTCTTTTCCTTTCGAAGGTGTCCTCACTTGTTTAGTAAACTGTTCGATTTCTACAAAAAATGATATTTTAGACTTTGGGTATGACATGTGTACTTTTTTCTTGATCTTTTTAATTATGGTACTTTTTGCCGAATATTTCTAATAAATGGTACCAAATCCTTAATTCCCAAATTTTTAAGTGCATTAGTTAGTCCAAATCAAAATTTTTAAATCCATAAGATATTAGGCCTTAAAAAAAGCCCTATGAAAATTTAAACTCTAATGCTGCACAAATTAATTTTATGCACCACCTGTCAAGTAATAAATGCAATAAATAAATAAGGAGATGCAACACAAGCAAAACATAATTTAAGTGATTCAGTCAAGGTGACCTACTCCACTACGAAGGGCTAGGATGACCTGAATGTTTTATTGCTTCAAGGAGTGTTGGGTGCTTGAGTGTGAGTGATATGTGAGATAGAAGATGTGAGAGATGCCCCCCATGTGTAGGCGGGACTTATAATTTATAGGCATCTCTTAACAGATTGAGACGCCTTATCAGTAACAGAAATGCTGATTTGGTGGAGTGGGTGCCATCCTCGTAACAGGTGAGACAGTTGCTGAGAGGGCGTGGAGATCTCCTCAAGACCAGGTCCTAGGATGACATGTGGCAGACCTCCTCACTCTAGGACGGCGTGGATGAGGCTCTCTGATGGCGTTGTTGACTCCTTTACTTTAGGATGACATGGCTCTCAGAGCTTTAATGAGCCTAACTAGATCTGAGTCTCTTCTAGGCCAGATCCACTAGGGCTTATCTGGGCCGAGTCCATTATCTGAGTTGGGCTTGATCTAGGCTGGGACCATTATATATATATATATATAATGGTCCCAGCCTAGATCAAGCCCAACTCAGATAATGGACTCGGCCCAGATAAGCCCTAGTGGATCTGGCCTAGAAGAGACTCAGATCTAGTTAGGCTCATTAAAGCTCTGAGAGCCATGTCATCCTAAAGTAAAGGAGTCAACAACGCCATCAGAGAGCCTCATCCACGCCGTCCTAGAGTGAGGAGGTCTGCCACATGTCATCCTAGGACCTGGTCTTGAGGAGATCTCCACGCCCTCTCAGCAACTGTCTCACCTGTTACGAGGATGGCACCCACTCCACCAAATCAGCATTTCTGTTACTGATAAGGCGTCTCAATCTGTTAAGAGATGCCTATAAATTATAAGTCCCGCCTACACATGGGGGGCATCTCTCACATCTTCTATCTCACATATCACTCACACTCAAGCACCCAACACTCCTTGAAGCAATAAAACATTCAGGTCATCCTAGCCCTTCGTAGTGGAGTAGGTCACCTTGACTGAATCACTTAAATTATGTTTTGCTTGTGTTGCATCTCCTTATTTATTTATTGCATTTATTACTTGACAGGTGGTGCATAAAATTAATTTGTGCAGCATTAGAGTTTAAATTTTCATAGGGCTTTTTTTAAGGCCTAATATCTTATGGATTTAAAAATTTTGATTTGGACTAACTAATGCACTTAAAAATTTGGGAATTAAGGATTTGGTACCATTTATTAGAAATATTCGGCAAAAAGTACCATAATTAAAAAGATCAAGAAAAAAGTACACATGTCATACCCAAAGTCTAAAATATCATTTTTTGTAGAAATCGAACAGTTTACTAAACAAGTGAGGACACCTTCGAAAGGAAAAGAAGAGATAACAGTTATGCATAATTCCACCATTATCGTCGGATTGTGTGAACTTCAAACGGGGATGACAAAACTTTCCCAAAATCACCATTCTCTGATAATCGTCATTTAAAAATCGTTCATCATTTAGAAATCATTTTTTTTAGGTTTCACAATGAAGAAGTGAAAAAGTCGGCATCAAACTGTTAATACCACATAGAGTATCAATCGTTGAAGAACAAAAGGTGCATTGTAGAGAAGAACGACGGTTGAGATCGTTGAAGTCTATGGAAAAGAAGTTGATAACTCAAGAAAAATGTTGTTTCTCCCAACGTTTTTATTTTATCTATTTTTTCCCTCAACCATCTCTTTACTTCTGGTACGTGGTACTACATGCACTCCAAGTATTCAATCATTTGCCAAAAAAATCGAAGAGGTCATAAACAACTGCATTCTCACAACATACCTTACCCACCATCACCGCCCTCAAAACCTTCCAACCCCACATACACTATTTGGTCAAGACCATAACCAACATCACCACCTCCTCACAACTCTAATTCCACCCATAAACACAATTCATCCTCTTTTGTTTTTTTGTGATACTATGTAATCTTATTTACATTAGATGTAGTTATTCATGATGTGTGTCATACAATTTTTTTGTGTGTTGTGCCACTGTGATATTTTATTGTGCCCTGTGTTATATCAATGTATGCAGTGTGACATTGACTTGTAATAGTATGACATTGGTTTATAGTAGTATGAATTTAGTTTGTAGTAGTGTGACATTAGCTGGTATCAGTGTGACATTGGCTAGTATCAGTGTGACGTTGGTTTGCATCAGCGTGGCATTGTCGTGTATCACTGTACCAATGCAACATGTGCCACTACTACTTATAAACACATCGAATAACATACATATAAATTTAAATTTAAAATATCCATGAAAAAAAAAAAACAAACATAACAACCAATAGTGTTATATAAGGTGAAAACATATATTCTTCATTACGATTTATAAAAAAATAAAAATAAATAAATTATACAAATGTGGAGAAGACATGAATATTTGAATAACTTCAGTTGAATGAAAGAGGAAGATATAATTTAAAATTCAAAAATGTTATTCCATAAATTTAGGAAATTGAATCCCTAATATAACTATCAGATTTGTCTCCCATTAATAAAGTAAAAGGGCAATTCTGTAAAAGAAAAATTTTAAAATCAGCAAAAGTATATCTCATCACCAAATATTTACACACAAAGGTATTAATACACATTTGTTTTATATTAAGATATTTTTACACAAATAAGTATGAAATAGTATACCTTTTCACAATTTTTCCTAAAAAATTTGAGGCCTTCTTGAAATATGAGGCCTAAAGTCGGGCTTTGTTAGGTTTATGATAGGGTCGACCCTGGCTTTCATTAATGGGAAGATCTAACCACATTTTTTTGTCATAGTTTTCACACTTAATTTTAGCCTAAACAATAGCTATACTACTAATAAAAGTAGCTTAAGTGAAAAACTTTTGATTTCCTTATTATCCTTTAATAATTATATAATATCTACTTTATCCTTTTTAACATGGCTTAGATAAAAACTTTTGATTTTCTTATATATCATTCAAAAATTCTATAATGTCTACTTTATCATTTTCTGATAAATTTTTTTATTTTTTTATTAGTTGCATTAATTCAACAAATAAATTCATTATTTGAATTTTAATTATCTTCTTCCAAAATAATACAAATTCAATCCAAATTCGATTTGAACAGTGTGATCTGAATTCAATTCAATTGTCCAACGAATTTTATTTTCACAATAGATATATGAATTTATTAAAATAGACATCTGTTCTGATCCAAAAAGTTAATTATAGACGATTTTAATATTTAGAACATGAATTTCTCCTCAATTTTATTAAATAATCACCAAACTATATCATATATTTGTAGGTACGTAATGGATATTCAAAATCGTTAAAAAAATAAATATTTGAATAGATGTAATGATCTATATATTACTTTCAAATGTCAATATTTGCAAAAAAAAATTAATAGATAATACTATCCTAAAAAATATAAAAAAAGACAATAATTACATATTATAATAACTTCTTATTGGTCAAAGAAACCAGTAGTCATCCAACTATTAATCACTGACTAAAGTTAAACATTATAGTTTTTAAATGTAATGAAATTTAATTTATACAACCCAAAATACGAGAAAAATCTTAAGCGTAGAGATGTTTACCTTACCCTACGGATATGAATTGTGGCATTCTATTTTCTTACCCGATACTTTACAAAATAATTTTTTCTTAGTCTATCTTAGCTAATCAAGTGTACTATTCCTACCCGAATTCTGTCCAAAATAATCGGGTAGAAAGTTTGGTGAACATGTATTTGTTTAGTTATTAATTTTTGAATTATTTTAACAATTTAATTAAGTAACATGTACTAATTAACTACCACAATAAACTAATAACACTAAAGAAAACACAATAAATTCGATAATAAATAAACAATTACAATAAAAAGAAAAACACACACACACACAACAAGAAAGTAATAAACATCAATATATCATATATAAGAAAGTCATAAACATCAATAAAATATTAGGGTTTTTAAATTTTAATTTTTTGGGATTAGTGTGTGTGTATGTGCGCGCGCGCACGGTTAGAATGGGGTAAGAATATGAAAATTTTGTAGTTATTCAGTATTCATACCCAATTTTTTACAGAATACCAAAAAATCTTCCGTTGGTCTATCCAATTTTTTTGGGTAGTCGATCAGTAAGGTCAGGTAGGGTAGGGTAGGATCAAAATTTGCGACTAATCAAAAATTTAAACACCCCTACTTGAGCATAACAGTTAACCCACATCTGTGGTGCCACTTTATATAACCATCCACTAATAAGAGAATAAGTGGACAAGTGAGCCCCATAAAATTTAGAGTAATGCTATTGGGATATAATTTATGGACATAATTTGAAAATATAATGAGTTGTCACCAATGATATGATAATAAATTCATTTAATGATACAATGGGATTCATCATTAAATACATTTTACTATCATTTCATTCGTGACAACTCATTATATCCCCAAATTATGTCCTTAAATTATGTTCTAATATAACATTGCCCTAAAATTTAATGATCATCATATAATATATAATCATCTCCATATAATGAAAATTGGTACAATATATCTATTTTTTTTATAAAAAAAAAAAGTAAAACTAATTGGCGTGCAATACACGCGTCCACTAGCTAATATACATAAAATGTTTTACAAAGCACACCCATATGCTATATACAAGTACTAGATTTTGTATGGGATGGGTATGGCCTTCAGTGGGACTGCTTTCCTAAGAGTTATCCCCATCCGTTCACTCATGTCCATGTCCGCCGGTGAAACCCCCTCGACTAGGACCCAATCAAAGGACTGCAACACAGACCCTAAAGCCATGGGCAACACCCGAGAGGCAAGCGGAACCGCTGGACACATCCGACGGCCGGAACCAAATGGTATGAACTCAAAATGGTGTCCCTTGTAATCCACCACGTTTGGCTCCAAGAACCTCTCTGGCTTGAACTCTAAAGGGTCTTTCCATGTCTTGGGGTCTCTCCCAATAGCCCAAACATTGACGAGAATTTGTGTTTCTTTTGGAATGTGGTAGCCTAACATAGCGCAGGACTCCATGGCCATGTGTGGTACTAAGAAAGGAAGAGGTGGGTGGTGCCTGAGAGTCTCCCTGATGACTGCTGCGAGATAGGGGAGGTTGATGATGTCCTTCTCTTTGAGGTTTTTGCAAGGAGAGATGACGTTTCTGAGTTCGGTCTGGACTTTTTTCAGTATTTTTGGGTTGTGGAGGAGCTCAGCCATTGCCCACTCTAGCGTGCTTGTAGTTGTGTCTGTCCCCGCAGTGAACATCTCCTGACAAGAAGGCAACACAATTAGGTTAATCTATGGGGCATGCAATGGAAAGATAGAGTAAATATTGGGGTCGCAGTTATAGTATGTCAAAATTATCTCGTGATATAATAATAACTTACCAAATAAAAAAAGTGGAACCTACTCATTCAAATAACTATTTCTCCATAAAAGATACTAATCACCTCTTATAAAAAAAAAATAGGGTCACATTGTCTATTTATTTATTTAACATTTAACAGTTACACCCACATGACATTACAACTAATACTTACTCATCCTCGTAGGGCATATTATTCTTTTGGCACATAGTAATAGTAATATCTTCTTTCTGAAAAAATATTTAATGTTATAATGACATCGCGTTATCACTGTAACATAGTTTTATTATTTAATAAAAAATATAACAAATAAACAAGTAGATCTCCCACAAATTCGTAATCACTCGTCTATGTGATTTAAAAACTACCTCATGTAAAAAAATGAAATTCTCTTTATTTATTTCTTTCTATTTTTATTGGATGATAACATCAGTTGACAACAATAGCATCGTATCTCTTTACATTGAATACTCATCGAGTATTGCCCAATCTGTTTAAATTTCCAACATAAAAATGGTATTTATGTTTCTTGTAACTATTGTTTTTGTAGTGAAACATATACCTTTAGTTTTAGGGCTAGGCTCCCCTATTTAAATTTTTATTTTGGTATCGTGTCACTTATTATTTTTTAGGATATCTATACTAATTTTTCAGTAAAATTTATTAATTTTACGAGAGCATTTATTTTTAGGGTTCACTTACTACATTTCTGGGTGAAAATTACTATGTTTTGGGTTAAAATTTATCACTTTTTGAGAAATTTTTTTTACATTGCCATTGAGTTGTCTCTAATTAGTAATTAGATTTGCTTTGTGTGTCTGTGTCTTGTACTTCGTTTTAATGTGAGTAATTTTTCGAAAATAAAATAAAAAAGACAATGGAATATGAAAAACTGTGGGGGAAAGGACTCACAAAGACGATGTTATTGATGGTTCTCGTAGAGAACTTTTGGGGTCCCTCTACGCCATCACCGCGATACTCCAAGAGCACATCTAAGTAATCTTTCTTCTTGCCTTCACCATAATCACTATCCATATTCTCCATTCTTTCTTTAATAAACCCTCCAGCAATATCAAAGGCTTCATTTACGTGAAATTTCATCTTCTTCCTTATTCCTTGCGGGTCAAGCCATCTCAGCATGGGCAAGAAATCAGCCATGTTAGGCTTCCCTGCCAACTCCATCACTTTTCCTGCATGGTAGAAGAACTTCTTTCCTTTCTTTGAATTCGGGTCCAACAGATCTTTAGAGAACATTAGATTTCCAATTAGATTGAAAGCCATCAAGAAAAAGAATCTCCCAACATCAATGGCGGTGGTGCCGGACTTTCCAGCTTCTGCCATGAACTGCACCATTTGATCAATACACCTGCTGCGTACGGCGGCCATGGCATCAAGCCGGTTTGTAACGAAGAACTCTGTGTTGCTCAACCGCCTCAGCAAACGCCAGTGTGGCCCATATTGGGCCGTGATGAGCGATCCTTCATTCCCATAATCTCCTTTCAT